GACAATAATTTCTCTGTGTGAGAGATGTTCTCATCGAATTTTGGTGCTGAGAGAGCACAGAGGCAATCCAGCTGTCCTCAAGACCCCTTTCTGCCCCTTCTCCCAACACTGCAGCCATCCCCAAATCCCACGGCCACCTCTCAGCTGCTTTGTGCCACTCTGGGGACACCTTGCTGTTCCCAGGGAACGTTTCCTCCTGCTGGGGAAGGTTTTGCTTGGAAAGCTCCCCAGAATTTCTATTCTCCAGCCTAAACAACTTCATACAAGCTCATCCTTGAGACACAAACGTTTCTCAAAGCAGCCTTTGGTGGCTTGGATCAGCACAGAAACTCCCCTTTTGTCCTGGCCCAGATCCCTGGAGCTCCTGCCCGAGGTGAAGCCCTCCAGGAGCAAAGCACCTGGTGTGCCCTGGTCCTGGAGAAAGGACTGGGGCTGCTGCCCCTGCAGAGCTCAGGCACCGAGCTGCAGAGTGAAGCTCCTGCAGCTCGTGGCCATCAACGTCAGCACGGATCCCACCAGCCCCAGAACCTCTGCACTGCACTGGGCGTGTGACACGGCACCGGCCGTGAAACGGGAATTGGGCCATGAAATGGGAATTGGGCCGTGAAAAGGGGATTGGGCCATGAAACGGGAATTTGCCATGAAATGGGAATTGGGCCATGAAATGGGAATTGGGCCATGAAATGGGAATTTGCCATGAAACGGGAATTTGCCATGAAATGGGAATTGGGCCGTGAAAAGGGGATTGGGCCATGAAATGGGAATTGGGCCGTGAAACGGGGATTGGGCCGTGAAATGGGAATTTGCCATGAAACGGGAATTGGGCCATGAAATGGGAATTGGGCCGTGAAACGGGAATTGGGCCATGAAATGGGAATTTGCCATGAAACGGGAATTTGCCATGAAACGGGAATTGGGCCATGAAAAGGGGATTTGCCATGAAACAGGAATTGGGCCATGAAATGGGAATTGGGCCATGAAATGGGAATTGGGCCGTGAAACGGGAATTTGCCATGAAACGGGAATTGGGCCGTGAAATGGGAATTGGGCCATGAAATGGGAATTTGCCATGAAATGGGAATTGGGCCATGAAACGGGAATTGGGCCGTGAAACGGGAATTGGGCCATGAAATGGGAATTTGCCATGAAACGGGAATTGGGCCATGAAATGGGAGTTGGGCCATGAAATGGGAGTTGGGCTGTGAAATGGGAATTTGCCATGAAACGGGAATTTGCCATTAAACAGGAATTGGGCCATGAAAAGGGGATTTGCCATGAAACAGGAATTGGGCCATGAAAAGGGGATTGGGCCATGAAATGGGAATTTGGCCATGAAACGGGAATTTGGCTATTAAACTGGAATTTGCCATGGAATGGGAATTGGGCCATGAAACGGGAATTTGGCCATGAAACGAGAATTTGGCCATGAAATGGGAATTTGGCCATGCTGGGTGACAGAGCAGCAGGAAAAAAGGGACCAAGCTGTGGGCACCTGGGCGATCTCTGCCCGGCTCTGCCAGGCTCCAGGGGCTCTGTGTCCCTGGCTTGCTGCTGGTGCCTGCCCAGATCCAGCTCTGGGCTCTCCTGGCTGCAGCAGAATTCTGGCCTGGCCCAGGGAGTGAAGAGGGAGCTGTAGGAAGCTGCAGAGCTCTGCAGTTGGGGTTTTTGGAGCATTTTGAGGATGGGTAGCTACAGCAGGACCAGCTTCAGCCCTGTGGGGAGCCTCTGCTCTGAGCTGGGCAGAGCTGCTCCAATAAGCCCAGCCTAAAGGTGATGGGGCACAGGAATAAAATCTGCAGGGCTAGAAAAAGCCCTGCCGTTCTCTGGAGGTAGAAGAATGTGCTTTTGATCCACCTGCAGTGACTGATCACAGGCCAGCAAGGTGCTCCTGCCTCCTCCAGGCCCTCTCCTCTTCCTCTTGGCATTAACTCAATCCTTGCTGGCCTAAGTGGAACCATCTGTCCTGCCCCGTGCTTCACCCTCAGCATCCCTGAGCAGCACAGCAGGAGATGACAACATTTGCAATTTCTGAATGAATTAATTGGGAGTTTCTGGCCAGTGCTGTTTTCCTTCACCAACAGTGAAGAGTCTCACAGGGCCTCTGAAGCAGAGTTCAGTGAAACCTTTGACAGCAGAGGCTGCTTCCCCCTCCTTGTCAGGGTGTAATGCATTCTCCTTCCTCCTGTGGCCTTCAGCTCCCAAACCTGCTGATGCAAGAATTCCTTCTTTTCCTTTTCTTTCTTTTTTTTTTATTTTATGGCCAAGAGTTTCGTGAGAAGGAAAAAATCCAGCTGTAACCCTGCTGCTGCAATCCCTCCTGCTGGAGAGGAGCAGCTGCTGGAGTCCTGCAGGGGAGAGGGGCTTCTGCAACACCTAAAAAATGGATTGTAGAAAACCACCTCTGTCTTCAACTTGTTTAGAGCAAAGTAGAAAATTCTTGAGGCTTCCATCTTCTGAGGCTTCCACGGCCTGGACAAGTTGAAATTCAAGCTGCAGCTGTGATTTTGCAGAGACTGCTCTGCTTTTGCAGCATTTTCTGGGTTGACAGAAGACTTCCTTATAGGTGATGCACTCTTCCCTCCTCGGGGATGCAATTTCCCCCTCCAGCTCTTGGCCAGGGAGCCAGCATTCCAGAATGATGTCTTTTAATTAATTTCAGCAATTGAATCCCTTGGCTTGGAGGCATGGGTGATGCAGAACAAAGCATGTGCAGTTTGAGGTTAATATTTTCCTTTTCATTCAGAGGACAGAAGCTGACAGAGCTGCTGGGTTTTCACACAGCCCAAACAAAAGTCTGCTTGGGGAAATGGCCAGCACCTGCAGAGAGAGGCACTGGGCCCAAAGGTGACCCCCTGGCTCGGGGAAAGGTCTGATTTGGAGTTTGCTTCAGGCCTGTCTGAAGTGCCTAAGGCGGAGGTTGCAGGGCTGCCCTTGGGTGCCACTGCCCTGGAGGGCACGAGGAGCAGCCAGGCTGCATCCCTGCTCCTTGCAGAGCTGTCCTGAGCCTGGCTCAGCCTCTCTCCCTGGGCCAGGCTCCACGGAGAGCAGGGAGCCCCTCTCAAAGCCTTCCCAGCTGCAGGCTGAAGCAGGCCATGGATTTGTCTGCAGGAGCAGCAGGCAAGGCAAGCTACCCCAGCAGGTCAGCCCGAGCACAGGGCTAAGCTAATTTTGCTTGACTCGGTAAGAGGAACAGATCCAAAGCCAGTGAAGCCAGTGGGAAAGCTGCCCTTGGCACCAGAGTGCCCTGCAGAGAGCCCAGGCTGCAGGGCAATCCCACCTGGAAAAGCCTGGGAGCAGGGCAGGGACTCGCTGCAGCCTGAAACAGCAGCACGCAGAAAGGGGAGATGGAAAAGTGGGCTTGGGAACGGGGCTCAGCTTCGGCCCTTTGTGGCAAGACTCATCTAAAACCTGCAAGCAGAGTTAGGATGGGAGCTTTAATGTTGATTTAGCCTTTGCTGGTCACTCTCCATGAAAGGCTCTCTGGCTTGTGTGGCTCTGCTGGTGTCCAGGGGATCCTGCTGGGCTTTTCCACCTCTCGGAACGTGCCCCAGGCACGGCGGGGCTCAGGAGCTCCCTTTTCCCACAGCAGCTGTGCTCCAGCATGGGCAGCTTCTGCCAGGAGAGGCTGAAATCCCCACCACCAAAACCATTACCAGGAAGGCAGCTAAGCACGAGTTTAGGCTGCACTAACTCAGAGTTAAACACAGGTTAAGGGCTGCCTGGTGTGATCACAGCCTGGCTGCTCTGACCCAGCCAGGAGGGATTGTCTGAGCTGTCCTTTCCTACCTGCTCACCGAGGCACTGAGCCCACAGAACTGGGCAGCTTTTCTGAGGTCATTTAATCAGCTTTTCTGAACAAAACGTTGTCCTGAACACCGAGGAGAGCAGGGGCCAGGGTCACTCACCTCGCTGTCTTCTGCGGGAGGTGGGGGAGGCTCCTTGATGATCTAGAAGGATGAAAGACAAAGAGAACCATGAATTCTCTGTTCCTCAGCACGACTGAAATCCAAAGGAGAGAACAACAGGCTGTGCTGCTGGGACACCTCTCTTGCAGCACGGTGTGGTGGCTCTGGGTGCCATCGAGGGTGGCCACAGGGGTGGCTCTGGGTGCCACTGTCACTCAGGGGGAGCAGGAGAGTCCCAGAGCCCTGCCACAGAGACATTCCCACACTCACACTGCTCACTGGCCTCTGCCCTGTGAGAGAAAATCCAGAAAACCCAAAGTCTGATACCCCCGAGTGTCCCAGTCCCAGCAGCTGCCACAGTCAGTGCTGGCTCTAAGCAGTGGTGCTTCACCTGGACAGCCACAGAAAATCAGTCCCTCCTTCTCCTGTCCTCTCAAATCCTGCCCCAAATCATTTCCAGTCTGAACAAAGGCTGGAGATCATAAGCAAAATGCCCTGGGGAACTTTGCCAAGCAGTGCTAACCCCCAGCCTGTCCCCCAGACCATTCTTCCTTTTTCACTCCAGAAGGCTCTGCCACCTCGTGCCCAGGTTAATATAGCTCACTGTCATAAACTCAAATATAAATATATATATATGGACACACATACATGGCTCATGGAGGTTTCTAATAAAGCAGGCAGGGTGAGGCTGCAGCCTGGTCCAGGATATTCTCCATAGAAACCATTTCAGTTTATGTGGGTGTGAGGCCATTATTTCATGCAGAAACTTTGCATCCAGGGCTTGGCAGGCAGTTGGCTGCCAGCAGAGCATCCAAGAGCAACAGAGAGGTTTCCAAGGGGAGGGCAGCGACACCAGGCACGTCCAACCCCTGGCACCCCTCAGCCTGGCCATGGCAGTGCCACCGCCAGGATGGGGCTGCCTGAGCACCAGGGGAGGTGACACTGAGTGTCCCGAGCTCTGCTCAGAGCTGGCTGTCAGGGCAGAGCTGCCCTGGCTTGGGGGACACACGAGTGGGCTTCAAAACCACCCTAAAAATAAAATAAAATAAAAATAAAAATACCATCCCGACCAGCAACAGCTTGGTCGTTGAAATGCAGAAAGGGAAAATTGCAATCACTTTAACGGCCCTGAAGATATAAATATTTACAGCAACTCCTCTCACTCGTGTTTTTCCCCCTGTGATGAGCTCACTGTTTTTATTTTGCTCTGCAAAGCCCGAGTCATGCAATGTGGCCATTAATGAGGAGCATGTGCCTCTGGCAGGGGGGGGACTTTGTGCCTCGGGAGCCCAGAGCACACAGGGAGAGAGGATTCTGTAAGTGACCAAAAACTATCAAAACTGTGACAATGACCAAGAATGATGAAAACTGTGACAGTGACCACGAATGATGAAAACTATGAAAATGACCAAAAGTTATGAAAACTATGAAAATGACCAAAAGTTATGAAAAACTATGAAAGTGACTGAAAACAATGAGAACTGTGAGAACAACCAAATCCAATGAAAACTACCAAAAATGATGAAAACTGTGACAATGACCAAGAATGATGAAAACTCTGACACTGACCAAAAATTATGAAAAACTATGAAAACTGAAAACAACCAGAAACAATGAAAATTACCAAAAATGATGAAAACTGTGACAATGACCAAGAATGATGAAAACTGTGACACTGACCAAAAATTATGAAAAACTATGAAAACTGAAAACAACCAGAAACAATGAAAAATACCAAAATTATGAAAACGGTGAAAATGACCAAGAATGATGAAAACTACCAAAACTGATGAAAACTGTGAAAATGACAAAAGATGATGAAAAGTAGATGAGACGTGGATGATGCGTGCCCAGGGAGGTTTGGAGTCCCCATCCCTGGAGGTGGCACTCTGTGGGGATTGGCTGCAGGCTGAACTTGGTGATCCCAGAGGTCTTTTACAAGCCAAAGAATTCTGGGGTTCTGTGAAAAGTGGGTGGAAAAAGCTGCCTGCATGGCACTGCTACTCTGTGGGAAGGAAATCCTGGATGTCAGCACGTCAGAGGTGTAGGAGGGAGACAGCACCACCTCTTCTGTGTCCCTTGACACAAGAAATACTAAATCAGACAGTGTGCAATGCACCAAAAGAGCCAGGAGACATTTTCAGATTAATTTTGGTCAGTCTGACGGGGTGGCATTTGTCAAGAGACCTCCTTTAGAACCAAATCCCTGAGCACAAACCCATCAGATGCTGAGAAAATTCAAATATCTGATCCAAAAAGTACCTGCTGAACCTCCTGGTTCCCTCCTGCAGCATGCCCTGGCTCCAGAGGAGTTTCTCTTGTTGACATTGGGATGAAAGACCAGAATAAGCCATCCAATTTTGGTGCAGCTAAGCATCCAAACACAGCTCATCAGCCAGTGCCAGTGCAGATTACACACTTGGAAGTGAGGAGATGGCTGTTTTCCATACATTTGCATTCCTTCCCATAGGCACACACGTACACACAAACTGACTGACTTCTGTAAACAGATCAAGTGTTTCCTATCACAGGCCAAGAGGGGGGAAAAAAGACATTCCTTCCATTTTTGAGTGCTTTGCACTTCTAAGAGCAACTGAGCTCCCTGTAAACTGGCAGGGATTGGTTAATTTGGACAAGCAGAGATGGGGGAGCTCAGCCTCCTGGGCCTTTGGGCCTGTACGACCTTTCAAAGTTCAAGTCTTAGCAAAAAAAAATCTAATTTCTGACTCGCTGCCCTGGCCTTCAAACAGCACAAAGCTTTTCCTTCTCCCTTTTGGATTTTTACAGTTACAGCTCTGTGTGCACGAAATCCTTACTCTGGGGCACCGAGACCTTTGTTCTGGGGCACTGAGACATTTATTTTGGGACACTGAGACCCTCATTTTGGAGC